CTCATCTTCCACGTCATATCAAAATCCCACCCCCTCTGGCAACTACATGCACAGTCTCATCTTACACGTAATCTCAAAATCCCACCCCCTCTGGCAAGTACATGCACAGTCTCATCTTACACGTCATATCAAAATCCCACCCCCTCTGGCAAGTACATGCACAGTCACATCTTACACGTCATATCAAAATCAAACCCCCTCTGGCAAGTACATGCACAGTCTCATCTTACACGTCAATCAAAATCCACCCCCTCTGGCAAGTACATGCAAAGTCACATCTTACACGTCATATCAAAATCCCACCCCCTCTGGCAAGTACATGCAAAGTCACATCTTACACGTCATATCAAAATCCCACCCCCTCTGGCAAGTACATGCACAGTCTCATCTTACACGTCATATCAAAATCCCACCCCCTCTGGCAAGTACATGCACAGTCTCATCTTACACGTAATCTCAAAATCCCACCCCCTCTGGCAAGTACATGCACAGTCTCATCTTACACGTCATATCAAAATCCCACCCCCTCTGGCAAGTACATGCACAGTCTCATCTTACACATCATATCAAAATCCCACCCCCTCTGGCAACTACATGCACGTCTCATCTTCCACGTCATATCAAAATCCCACCCCCTCTGGCAAGTACATGCACAGTCTCATCTTACACGTAATCTCAAAATCCCACCCCCTCTGGCAAGTACATGCACAGTCTCATCTTACACGTCATATCAAAATCCCACCCCCTGTGGCAAGTACATGCACAGTCTCACCTTACACGTCATATCAAAATCCCACCCCCTCTGGCAATTACAAGCACAGCCACATTTTACACGTCATATCAAAATCCCACCCCCTCTGGCAAGTACATGCACATTCTCATCTTCCACGTCATATCAAAATCCCACCCCCTCTGGCAAGTACATGCACAGTCTCATCTTACACATCATCGAAGGAAGTTTAGAAGTCAAACTTCCGACAATATGGACAGATTAGGCAGAGAGAAGAGAAAGATTAGAAGAGAGAAGATCAGAAGAGAAAGAGTCAGAAGAAAGAAGATGCAGGTGCGCGAAAAGGTAGGAAAGTCGCGAACACTGTGTTTTTTGGTGGTTTTGTGGCTCCGGAGGGTTGAAAAGTAGGCTCGCTAAAGCGGCGGATGCGGAGACATCTGGGGAGATGAGAGATGAACAATTGCACGCCGTTGTGGCGCGAAGCACATTTCGAAGTCAAAATGTACAAAACAGACCAGGTCCGGACCACTTTTGGCAGTTGAGATGTCGAAAAAGTGCACGCCGTTGTGGCGCGAAGCACATGTTGAAGTCAACATGTACAAAACACACCAGGTCCGGACCATTTTTGGCAGTTGAGATGTCGAAAAAGTGCACGCCGTTGTGGCGCGAAGCATAGTTGACGGAGCATAGTTTACGGATCTTGGTTTACGATCCATAGTTTACGAGCCATGGTTTACGAGTCATGGCCGTCTTGGTTTACGAATCATGGTTTACGAGCCATGGTTTATGAGTCATGGTTTACGATCCATAGTTTACGAGCCATGGTTTACGAGCCATGGTTTACGATCCATAGTTTACGAGCCATGGTTTACCGAAGCAGAAGTCAACCCTGAAACGATGGTTTGTTCGTCCGCTCGTCGTTTTCCCCTCGAACCATCTCGTCGTGAGAACCTTGAAGACTCGGTCCTGGAATTTTTCACGGTCGGCGCTGAAAAATCGATGAATTAATGGAGAAGCCTCAGGTTCTTCATGATCTGGTTGGTGGTTTCAAACATTTTTTATTTTCCATAATATATGGGATAATCCTTCCCATTGACTAATATTTTTCAAGACGGTTAAAACCACCAACCAGTGATGTATGATGATGTTTTGATGATTTGTGCTGTTTTTTCATCGCCCGTTGAAACCCTCCGCGCTTTCTAGGTGGAATGGGTGCGAGACCAGCTCCTTGCGGACAAACGCGTCAAGGGCGCGACGCACAACGTGGTGCCTGGCCACGGACGTTTGGATTTCGTTTTGTGTGGTGATTTACAGTAATGGAGGATTTAATGGCGATTTAATGGTGATTGGTGATTTAATGGATGATTTAGTGGTGATTTAATGGTGATTGGTGATTTAATGGGATGTATTAGGGATATATTAGGGATATAAAGCCAGTATAGCTCAACACATGTTTCCATGGGATTTAATCAACAACAAATGCTGGTTTAATGATATTTAATGGTGATTTAATGGCGATTTAATGACATGGTGGTATGGCTCAAACATTTTTCCATAGGACTTAACCAACAACAATTGCTGGTTTAATGGTGGTTGAATGGGATTTAAGATGGTAATCAGTATTTTCCAAGATGTTCATAGGGATTGTGGGATTTATGTAGCCATGATGTCTGGACTCTCATTATTGGGATACATTAGGGATATATTAGGGATATAAATATAAACCAGCCATAGTTGGGTTACATGGGGTTTAACCATGACATAGGGGGATATGGTACCCGGGATGCTTAATACGAACATGAAGAACACATTTGACCCATCCATCAGGAAGCAAATCAGGATTTATTGTATACGATCTATCTATCTATCTATCTATCTGTCTGTCTGTCTGTCTGTCTACCTGTCTATCTGTCTATCTGTCTATCTGTCTATCAGTCTATCTGTCTATCTGTCTATCTGTCTATCTGTCTATCTGTCTATCTATCTATCCATCTATCCATCTATCCATCTATCCATCTATCCATCTATCCATCTATCCATCTATCTATCATCTATCTGTCTATCTATCTATCTATCTATCTACCTATGTACTTATCTATCTATCTATCTATCTATCTAGCTATCTACCTATCTATCTATCTATCTGTCTATCTATCTATCTATCTATCTGTCTGTCTGTCTGTCTGTCTATCTGTCTATCTGTCTATCTGTCTATCTGTCTATCTGTCTATCTGTCTATCTCTCTATCTATCTATCCATCCATCCATCGATCTATCTATCTATCTATCTATCTATGTATCTATCTATCTATCTATCTATCTATACGATTATTCAGGTACACAAATTTCAAGTGGTGAAGATTCGAATTGGTGGCCGCCACTCAAATCGCCCATTCTGGGATGCACTAGCCATGAAAATTCAACTAAAATGGGAGATATGAAGCATCTCTTGCAGGATGATAGATGGGAACATATGTTGAACACATCGAACCGGCTTTTCACAAATGTTTTCACGACCAGTTGAGAGGGATTGCAGTAGCCTTTTCTGATCTTTTTTGTCTCTTTCGGGTTCCTAGGTTGTGAGAAAACTTGTTGAGAGTCTATTTTTTTCGAGCTCATCAAAACATCAGGCTTCCCTTCCAAACAAATTCGAGTTTTGGTCGCCTCGGGGCTACCCAATTTCAAACCAGTGAAATACGTTGTGATCCTTCTAGACGTTCTTCCCCACCCCAGAAAAGTAATTGGTCCCGGCGTCTCTGCAGCTGTCTCCTTCATTGAATCAGCAGATTTGGTAAAACCCTTGTTGATGATTCAATCCCCAATTTTGGATGGCTCCCAATTTTGATGGTTTAATCATGTTTAATCCCTGATTTCGATGCTGAAAATCCCTGATTTCTTCAGGGTTCAAGCCCCATTTTTAGCTTGTTCATTCCCCATTTCTGATGGATCAGTTCCCATTTTTCACGCTAAATCGATGTGAACCTCATCCACAAAAATCGCCCAATGATTGGCAGTTCCATAGGTGGCCTACCGATTCCGACAGCGGCGGCCCAACCTGCTGATCGAGGTGTGATCAGATCGCAGGGATGGAGGGTTATTTATGCAGCCGTTTTGCATTGATGGAATCATTCTTAGTATCAACAACAATAAAATCATCAGCAAATTGCGAAGCTTTACAGAATTTATCCCCTCAAAAAGAGAAGCATATGACATCATCCCAGTACCCCCCTTGATGTCCACAGATTTTCCCACAGTTTCCTACCAGGTTTTATGGGGGTTTGTCTGAAAGTATAGTTCACCCCCAAATCCTATGGTGGAAAAATCATAGTCCTTCGGATTTTTAGTCCTTCGGATTTTTTTATTGCATTTTATTGCCATATGCTGGGGGCAAATCTCCAATATCTTACATTAGTGATGGTCAATCTGAGGCAATCCCCTATATCTTCCATTATTGATGGCCAATATCCCTATAACGTCCCCATGCATTGATGGCTAGTCCCCATAACACCACATTCCCATTTGCTGATATATCCCATTATATTATTGTATATCTCACTCCATATCGCATTAATGGTCTTTGTTGTATATACCCTCTGGTTATTTAACATAGCCATGGAAAATCCCTTATAAATGGAGGTTTTAATGGGAAAATAATCTATAAATGGGCCATTTTCCATGGCTATGTTACCAGAGGGTATATCCCCATTTATTTCATGGTTCATATCACCATACAACCCCAATGTCTCACGATTTCATCTGTTTTTTGTTGCTTTTTGGGGGTCAAATGTTGATGGTCTATGGTCTTCCCATTCACTGATGGTTAACCCCCTGTAAACTTGCTAGATGTGGAATTTCCATCATGTGTAGATCATTTTCCGAAACCATGGGTTTTCCACATCTATGTCATATATGTCCAGATACATTTCTTCATATCCTTTTATAATGGTATATATAGTATATATATATGGTACCCCCTCCAATAACGAAAACCATTGGAACGTATGGTCAAGATAGTCAAGTAAACTTGCATACTTATACATATATACACATACATGTATGCATATATATTATTATTATTATTCTTATTACTATTATTGTTATTATTATTATTGTTATTATTATTATTATTACTATTATTATTATTAGTATTATTATTATTATATGTATAATTATACATATATATACTACTATATATATATATGTATTCATTGCTGGTTCATCTCCCCATTCAGCAGGAATCTGACGACGATGGCGAAGCTGGTGCTGGCAAGCGGCTGCTGGAGCTGCTGATAAACCGCAACGACAACGGTGTGTTGGTCATGGCGCCTCGGTTTTTTAACGTGGCGGGATGAATTCAGTCAGATATTAGATATTGTTATTGTTATTATATGATATATATATATGACATATGATATTGTATATTTTAATATTATACTTACTACATGTTATTATTATTGATAGTTAATCATAGTTGTAACAAAATTACCATTATGGAGTGTTTTTTGGTTTATACTAGTAATTAAAATTATATAACATGAAACATTACATGATTGACGCATTATAGTTATGTTCTGGTTATATCACATTTGGTCATGTAATGGTTATAGTAATGGAATACACATCTACAATTATTACATCCAGGAGGACCAAATCCTGAATAAGAACTATTACATCTTCAACACATCCATTATTTGGCTATTTTATTGATTAATATAGCATGTCCAATTCCGAGCATCAACCTTGAGAACCTGCGGTTGATGATTGGGGTTGCCATGCGAACGATGAATTGTGGGACTTTGACGAGCAACAAATGGTGGGGTGTCGCGAGATATAACCAGAAGTACTGGGATGCTACGGAGGAGACCTTGGCATGATGATGATGATTATTATTATGATTATGATTATGATGGGTTACGACCTCCAACAAGAAAGGAACATGAGTATTACATCGAGAGATCATTCTGAAAAGTAGATGGAAGACCACGCAAACAAATGGGTACAAAAACAGCGTTTCGTTGGAATCGCGATGTGGGAACCTTGTCCATTATCCTCTGGTCATTGAAGAGTTTGCTATGGCTGCTATGGCTGCTATCGAAGTCAATGGACCTTTGAGAGACCGTGGCTCAGGTCTCCCGTTGGAGAGGCAGGCCATTTTGGAGACCTTGGGCCCTGGATGGAAAGAACGAAAGAACGAAAGATGCATAGATACTATAGATACTGTGTATGGAAGAATAATTTTTGAAACATACGTAGATAGACAGATAGATATTATAAACGAGATAGATAAGATAGACAAGACGAATGAGATAGACAAGAACGATAGGATGATAGATGAGAACAATAGATACAATCATAGTACAGAGATAAATAGACACAAATGCATGTGTGAGTTTACATTTATGCGTGCTGGAGATAAAGAGATACAGCAAGTATGCATATTTCCGCACAAGATTTTCATGTCTGTGCCAGCCTCTACCCAGGGATATTGAACTTTATGGACACATAAATCATAAAGACACAGATGCAGAGAAACATCCGTCCGTCCAACCATCCAACCATCCATGGATGCTGTCTGTGTCTCTGCAGCCAGGCACCATCCATCTCGGAGCCGATCGATTTAGGCGGGGTGGAAGACGCGGGGTTTTGCTCCACTTTGATGGTGCTCAACTAGCCTGGTTGCAAATTTTCGACAGTACAGAATCCCAATGCGATACCACACTGGTCGTTGGGATCAATAGATTCAATAGATGGAAACTGGGTGAAATATCCCCTTTGAATCCATCATAGTCCTGGCTGCAAAACCCCCGGATTCGGCCCAGGAATTATCAGAAAGCTGCGCAGCAGTTGCTGGAGACCCAACTCTAGCCAGGCAGGAACTGCGAGATTTTCACATGTTTTTCTTGGTTTTGCCTAGTATGGGTTATACTAACTGGATCTAACTGGTAAAACAGTGGTTATATATTCCATTATATTCCTATTTTTCAGGTTCATAGGTGGTTTTTTTCCAAAGTGGTTTAAAACGGATATCTCCAGTAGACCAGTTGGTATGTACCAGCTATTGGTGACCAAAACAAACCAGTGAACTATCGCGACTTCAAGCCCAAATTCAGGGAAGAATCAGCCTGAGAGGAGTTTTTTTCTACTTGTCAGATTGTACCCTCTGGTGAACTAACATAGCAATGGAAAATGGCCATTTATAGTGGATTTTCCCATGAAAAATGGTGATTTTCCATTGCTATGTTAGTTGACCAGATTGTAGCTGATGTTTATCAATCTGTGAGAGACTTCTGGGTCCAAAACTATTATCAAAGAAAGTTTGCAGAAACTTCAGCATGTTTTAATGTCCGAAAACACAATGAACACGTTGGTTTCCTGTCAAACAAGTCCTTTAAACAAACCCCATGATGTGGATGAATTGTAGCGACCTCACGACTATGTCACCACAGAATCAACTGATTTCACGTTGGTGAATCATTAGCCAAGCAGACTGATTCGTCTGAAAAATATGCTACAAAAAATCACTACCTTTCATCGAAACATCATCATCCAGAAAAATCGTTTCCACATATATCATCATATATCTTCCATCTAAAACATTATTATTGGATGAACCCATTGGTCAATCAGACATTTTTTTTTTTGGGCAGCCAGGCTGCGGCGCGAAGTTGCTGACTGAGAGAAGCTTCAGGGCGCCTGGTGCCAGTGAACAGTGTGACATAGCAGACATAGCAAAAATATGATCCCAAAATAAACATCACATAGTGGTTCATGGATGGATCTCTATATCATAATATATCCTATATATATATTATATACATATCTATATTGTAGATATATGCTACATCCAGTATATATATATAGATGTAACGGTATATATACTTATTTATGTTTGTATATATATATATATACACATAGTGATATTGTACATCAATATCTATGGAAGTCAAGGCAAAAAAAAGATGGAGTGAACACATCCCTCGCGGTCGCCGGGGCGCCGGAAGCTCCTCAGCTTGATTTAGAGGGCCGAGCCGTCTGCAATGCCCTGCCACTGCAACCCAGGTGACCTAGGTGACCTTTGAGAATGGGCTAAGCCATGGGTATGGGTCAAAATTTCATAAGGGACCTTTCTATTGCTAGTAATTATTTTTAGTGTTCGCCATATCTAAGAAAAATGGGGTATCCAATCTAAAGACATACCCAAATATGTTCAAATCAACCCAGGATGAATGTTAACCCGTGGGGTGTTTTTCTTTGGGGATTGCCAATTTTAGTAGCAGATGACCACTGCAGCTTGACCGGTCATTTTAAAGTTTAAAGGAGCAAATCAGCCTTTTGTTGGCACACTGTAGCCCATACCCAAATGAGGGTGGTGAAGGCTTGAACATGTTTCAACAAAACAGGTTGGGTGAAATATGGTGAAGTACCGAACTGAGGGAGTGGTGCCCCCGCAAGATTGTGGTGAAACGCTTAGCCACTGGAACTGCCCCAGTGATATCTGGACGTCTGCGCCTGGGTGCGTTGTGACAGCGCTACTGCGATGTACATAACCGCTCTCACACCACGATGTCAAAAAACCTGGAGATGTCGTCGGGAAGTGCCAGGTCTGGAAAGGTTTGGAAAGGTCATTCTACAATTGATCATGGGCTATGAAGGGCTATCATGGGCTATATCTACATGTAACATCATGCAACTACCACATAGTCGGATGTCATGATGACAGCGCCGTTTGATGCCGGACTTGTCCTCTGCACGACATCTCGAGGCTTGCTTCTCACCCATGAAAAATGGTCTGATTCTCACCAAAGTTCTCGCAAAAAAAGACATGTTTGATCAATGGCCATTTCAGGAACCTAAATTGGAGGCACCTACCATATTGTCAGGCCTATTTTTTAGGCCTAAATTTCAGGGAATATCCCCACAATTCATATGGCCAAAAATATGGTACGTACCTCCAGCCTGAGGCCTTTGGATCATCAATACTTGATGGGAAGCCCAGATGGAGATCGATGGAGATCCATAGGGATTCATGGTGAATTTACAGGGCAAAAAATGTCCCCAAAAAATATCCCCCAAATATGGTATTTCATGGTGTATTTCATAGCTTTTCAGATTTCTCACTGAATCTCTCCATTTTTTTCTCTACAAATCATGATCCCAGGTGATTTCTGTGAGATGATCGCCCGAGGTTGGAACTACCTGAGGACTTGGCACGGCGCGCGGAGCAATGCTTGCGCCAAGGCAGTGGAGAGTGGCAGGATGTTTGAAACGCAGAATTTACCCTCTGGTAAACTAACATAGCTATTGAAAATGGTCAATGATAGTGGATTTTCCCATTAAAAATGGTGATTTTCCATAGTTATGTTGGTTAACCAGAGGGTATGAGCGATTGTGCGTATCATGCACAACTTCCATCAGCTTCCCAGACTTGTAAAATCTCTCCATGTCACCCTTGTGCCAGACGGCGAAGCACCTCCACTAGAGCTGGAGATCTTGGAAAAGGAGGCAGAAACGGGCGGCAGCACCAGGGACGGAAAGTGGATTTCCTGAAATTGGATGGACGATTGGGCCATGTTGGACCTGTCTCGGGCTCAAGCATTCCTTGTTACATCTGATGACATCATCCCAGAAGTTATCATCTTATATCGGATATATACATATATATATGTATATATATATACACTATACATGCTATACATAGTTTCATCAATCCAAAATTTGGATGGTGACTTTTTCTGGCTCTGTGTCCGCGGGGTATATCCCCCAACTTTGGCCAATTACTGGGGAACATGATGATCAACGGATCAATTTTTTTGGGTTTTCCCACGTTTTTCCCTACATTTGTTCCTCAGAGAAAACCCCGAAAACCCTCTGGTAAACTCACAGTTTGCAATGGAAAATCATCGTTTTAGGTGATTCAACGAACCAAATCACCGTGTTCAGGAGCTAGGTTCATTTTCAACAGCTATGATAAGCCATGATTTTATTTTCTAGTTTTGTTCAGGGAAAGCCGTAGAATCCCATCATTTCCTCCAGGAGCTCAGTGGCGACCTTGGCCCGCGGCATTTCCACGTGAAGGCCATTGGCTGTTTTTTTTTTTGAAGGGTCGAATTTGAACAAACAAAGCCGTAGATGTATTTGTATACATATATATATATTTACATCAGAGTTACATCAGTCTATATCGCGATCTATTCAATGCTGTTTATGACCATCTGCGGGGTACCGTTTGATCATTTGCCCATGGTGGGTTCACCTGTTTTTCAAGACGAGATCTTGCGACCACTGTGGTCGTTGGATGTTGTTGAAGAGTGTCTATATGCTTGGATATACATAGTGTTGATTCTCTATGGGCACTGATGAGCAGTCAATTTGAGCGAAAGTGTGGGTCCATTCTTCTTTTCTGGTGGTTACATATATATATATACATATATATATATACATATATATATATACATATATATATACATATATATATCTATATATATATGGTATATGTTCATTCAGATTTTGGGATGAGAGGGGCCAACAAAAAGGCTCGGCTCATATGATTTCCGTTTGGCTCGCCAAGCAACCAGTGGATACTGTGGCGGAATAAACCCACGACCGCAACCAGGCTTGGGGTGAAGAAATGTTGGCAGCCTCAGCTGGGGCTCAAAAATTGAGACCCTACTTTATACCCAGACTGACTGGTCGGTTGTTTTTTTTTGCAGCGAACCATCATCAAACCATCAACATTTGTTTTATACCGGTTGGTTTTTCTTTCAGGTCCTTGGAATGATTAGACATCGGACACTGGATACTTGATAAGCAGCCAGGGAAAAACGGGGAGGATTCCGCTAACAAATATAATCCCTCCCCCCTGGTAAGCAGCTTGACCTCGGAACCTTGGCACGATTTGTGAGTGCTGGTTGTTGGTCGAACCCCCATTGTGGGTGGCTTAAACTCAAATTTTTGGTAGACAATACCATACCCATTATTTCTAGGTCAAGCTTCAAACCATTTGTTTGGTGAAATTCCCCTTCTTTGTGGCTTTAACTATGCTTAACAAGCAATGTTTGATAGGTTAAGTTACATTTGAATCCCAAATGATTGGTCTGTTTTTCAATGCTCATTTCCCTCCCTATCCCCTTGGGGCTTTCAATCTCCACCCTGCCCTTTTTTTTTGAGGCACGGCACAGTGGTGGACCTGCCCTGTCGGGTGGAGAGTCACATTTTGCCGCCTGGAGCCAGCCAGGTGCCACAGGGCGTCCAGGGCTGAAAAGGTGGGGGTGAAAAGGTGGATACAGTGGGATAGAATGGTGTCTAGGGGAAAATCATAGGAAAATAATGGGAAAATACACTATGAATGGAGGAATTATCCCATGATTTAGTAACTAATGTTAGTAAAACAATAATAATCCACCCCATATTTTGATGGTTTATAGCACCCATAAAAATGGTGATGACTGGGAGATGGTTTATGGCATTGTTTTACCCACATTATAACCAACAAAACAGCGATGATTGTGATGTACGGAAACGGCATATAATGATATATCATGGGAGATACTAGAATAGAATGGGATGTAGTGGGATACAACGGGATATATATATATATACGGGATAATGCGATTCGAATCAGGAAAATCTAGGATGGAATTGAACTAGCAACATTAGATTTCGATCTCAGCAACGAAATCTGAGACATTGACATCCAAAAGGCCCAGGGACAGCCAGTCCATATCAGCCCCAACCCCCAATCTGCCAGGCCTTGTACAAATCCGCAGATGTGGCTCAGATGCTCATCGTTCACAGGGAAAATGAAGTCCCAGGGGCAGAGAGGTGCAGGGATTGCTGGTCGAAGGGTTACGACGGTTACGATTTTATCGGCACTCTGGGGGGAGTTGGACCATCACTTGAGTAGTTTCTTGGTAAAAAAACGCGAGTAAACCAACTTGGGTAAAGCTAGCAAGTGAAAATCACGATTTTAGAGGGATAATATGGGATAATCCACTTGTAACAGGGGGATTCTATTTTGGTCAGTTTGACTAAACAGATTTTGAGGTCGATAGTCTTGTGCCGCTACCGGCCGGGGGCCCGCTGCAGGTATTTGGACAAGAAGACCTTCAGATGGAGGTGCGAGAGGCTGTGCCTCGCTGGGTATGGCTCAACAATTCTTTTTGACGGCCCCATCATTTGAGATGGTTAAACACTGAACAAGATAACTTTTGTGGGTCCATTGGTATCCATTTTTGAGCCATACTCAGGTGCAATGGTTTCGCTGGGGTTGACCTTTATCTCCACTACTTTTGCAAAGACTCCTGACCCCAAAATAGTCCGAAACAAACCCTAAGTTGGAGTTTTTGCGCCATAAAATGAGGAGTTCATCATCCAAAGTAGGGCTCATGATGGTCATGACGGGTCACGTTCCCAGGATTCATGGATTAAAATGGATGGACACATGACTATAGTCGCTCCATTGTGGTACAAATCAACCATCATCATCAGATAGATGATATTCCCAATTCCCAGCTACTAAGCTCCATGTATTACTGGAGGGTACCCTTTGGTAAACAGTCACATAACTATGGAAAATCACCATTTTATGACGGTAAATCAACTATTTCTATGGCTATTTTCAATAGCAAACTGTTAGTTTACCAGAGGGTAAACATCTTTAAACCAACTGCCAGGTCGGGCCTAACACCTCCAACTCAGCTGGTGGTGGACCGCAGATTCCGAGGGGTGCCAGCTGCCGGAACTGCTTGGTGATGATTCACCACCCATTTTTTGATGGTGAAATCCAAAATATAGGTATGCGGTATGTATGTAATATATATATAACTATATATTGTAGAGCTTCGGATATACAGTACAACTATATAAGTTATACAACTATCTAAGTTATATATATATAAAATATAATGTTATATATATATACACGCACACATGGCATTTAAATATTCAAAACCACATTTTGATGACTGAAGACTCATTTTGGATGGTGTAACAACCCTAGTCCATGATGAACTCAACCGTTTGTGATGCTTTTATCCCAGCAAATCGCCCCATTCTGGAGGGTTATTTTTCTGCCGTGGACGGTGCCAGAATCCATCTTAAAAAAAGGATTGATAAACTGGGTAATGCAGGCTTTAGGGGTCACCATGTTTATCAACATGAGCTCCATAACAATCCCCCCCAAAATGGTTACCCTCCGGCTGGAAAATCCGCCTCATTTATCCATGATTTTCCCAGCTATGAACTTCCATTTAGTGCGGGGATTTCCCATGACATGTGATACCTCCCCTGCTTTGCTAGGTGCCCCCAAGTCACTCCATGTTCGCACCTGCCTTGATTCGAGAAACCAACGCGGTGGCGGGAACCCAGTGTGGATTGTCTCAAACTGGGGGATATCTTGAAAGAAACAACCTATATTGGCCACTGAAGAGGGGACAACTGAGAATCCAACAATTCTATTTAGCTGATTTAACCAGCTAAACCTCCATTTAGTTCGAGGATTACCCAGCTGTGTTTGAAGACTGGGGGGTAAACATCTTTAAACCATGAAATCTGAATCTGGGGGTTGCCTATTTTGTTTGTTCGCCCATCTCGGTCGCCGAAGAAACCCCACTAGGCCCTGAAGAGCCGAATGGCAAATCATCCTTTCACCTATGAGGTGGAAAACACCTGGTTTGAGTGGGAGGTATACCTCAAATGGCCCAGCGAATAGGGAAAGGTGCCCCAGTTCGCTAACTACATGCTTAACTAGGTTAACTATGTTTGACTATGTTTATGGTTTATGGCAGATACATCTATAGTTAATGGGGTTTATAAACCAACAACTGGGCATCACCTTATAGGGAAAGTGATGATAAAGCAATGGATGGAAATGGGGTAAACCTAGAGACCAGGGACGCCAAGATTACACCTGACGCTCCGGTACTCTTAGTGTGGAAGGCCTACGCAGTCATTTTTCATCTTTGGCATTTGGCCAAGTTTGGGACACAGAGACAGATGCCAAACTCAGGCAAATTTTTCATCCAGCCTGTGGGTGCGATATATTTGGGCTATCCTAGCCAGTTTCCAACCATGGATCCTCACTTCCAGCTACCCAGAGTCCCATTCAACCATAGTTAAAACCATGGTCAACTATGGTTAACTTGGCTGACGATGGATGGGTACCTATGGTTAGCTGATATGGGAATGGGTCAGAACTATTCATAACAATGCTCCTCTAACATGCCAAAGATGTTGGGACAATATTATCACAGCATGTTGGGATATGAATGACAACATCAACAACACTCACATCATTCACAACATTAACAATCTGTTATGAATATATTATCACATTTACACACAATATCAACAACATTAACAACATTAACACCCCAGTGATTTGTGGATTCATGTGGGATTCACCCAATGCCATGCCGATTCGGAGATGGTGACTTGACCAATGCCATTGGCAAGTCCTTGGGGATGGTATTTTGAATTGGCACCGTAAAAATTTACCCACATTTTTACTGGTTAATATCCAGTCATACATATCCCATATATATATATATCCCCATGTATTGACAGGAAGAGGGTGAAGTGGACGAGGTGCGGTCGGGCTGCTGCATGCGCAATTTTGAAAGGAGGTGGGAGGATGGGTATGAAGCACTTCAGTGGGTTATTCTAAGGAATACATAGCATTTATAAAAGGATATATATATATATACATACATATATATATGCACATATATATATATGCATACATGCATATAACTATATATATATGCATACATGCATATAATTATATATGATATGCAACATATATATAAAACAGAGATATGACATAACATTATATAAATATGTATAACATATATATATATATATTATAACATATATATATATATAAAACACATATATATATAATATAATATATATAACATATATATATATATATGTATGTATGTATGTTATATATATAACATATATATATAACATATATATATATAATAACATATATATAATATAACATATAATATATATATAACATATAGAACATATATATTTATAACATATATAACATATATATATAACATATTTATATAGCATATTTATATAACATACTTAAAGAACATATATATATATATAACATATTTACAACACATACATACAACATATATAAAACATATATAACGTATGTATAGCATATATATATAACAAGCATATATATATATAACAAGCATATATATATGAAACATATATATATATATACATATATATATATAAATAACATAATTA